GGAGGGATGCCCGGGCAGCGCGACTTCGTCTCCCCTGGAAGAGCCCACCACCCAGCCGCACAGCCCTGGGCAGGCCCCCGGGCAACGTCCCCCAGGTTCGAGCATCCCCCCGGCTGCTACGCTGAGGATGCTCATGCCTGGGAGATGCTGCGACTTAGAGGATGCTGTTACCAGGGGGATGCCATTATCAGAAGAAATGCTGGTACCCGAGGGACAACGGCTGGGGGCGTTCCCAGTGAGAGCACCACGGAGAATTTCATTCTGGGATGAAAGGCTACCTGCGCCTGCCAGGCTCCCCACCCCACCCCAGCTTGCCCCTCCATGGGGATCTCTTCCCCCCAGCCTGGCCAAGGCAGCAGGAGAGGTGTGGGTAGCACCAAGGGGCAGAGGAGAGAGGGCCCCCCTGCTTCACCTCCTGCCTCAGCCCCAGCAGGGCTCCCAGATCACCCCCCTCACTGTGGTAGTCAGTGGCTCTGGTCCTCAGCTCCAGCTCCCAGTCAGGCTGTTAAACCTCACACTTTGTTTATTTCAAAAAACAAATTCGCCTCCAAACCACTGGTTTGGCAAAACCCTTGGAAACGTGACTTGTACCAGCTCATGGACCAGATGGGGAAAGCAAAAGAGCTCCACATCTTGTTATTTAAAAACTCGGTGGTGATTAAGCCAGCCTGATGATTCGGGGAGTCTGACTCATCATTTTTTTTTAACACTCGGGGATGGTGAGATAGGAATTTGCTGCTGCTCTTCAGCAGCACATCACCATGTCCCGTGTGGAAACTGGCAGCAGGCTGGGGCAGAGGCTCCCGGGCCGTGCCCGTCTCGACACCCCCGTCCTGCAGCACCCTTTGCCTGCCTGGGTGGTCTGTGCCGAGATGGGGATGGAGGGAGACGGGGGGGAAGGTTTTTATCTCTGCAGCTCTATGTCCGAGTAGAATTAATCTTAAGCCAAATTGAGCTGTTCTGGAACACATGGTAGGCAGTATCATCCCACCCTTATTTTCCAGGCTCCTGAGCCCAGCCTCTCACCGCTTTGCCAGGGCACATCACACCCGAGACGTCGGCGGCGTTCCAGGAAATAATGCCGTGTCGCATCCCCTCCGCCCACCGCTTTCCTCCAGCAATGGGAGAGGCTTCGCAGGAGCGCAGAGGAG